AACGATAATATTCACCTTCTGCTATTTCGGACTAGGTTACTGTGACGATAACACTTTTGTCCCTCAATTGTTCTAATGGGTGAAATCATTGGGGCGGTGATTCGGATCCTAATGGTATCACAGCTCGTGGTGGTGAATCCACATGATGCGTCAAGTGACGTCGAGACAAAATGGCTTCCCTTGCTTTCGAATAATGCTTCGATAAAACAACGAATGAATTAATGGCGTGTCATGTATTACAAGAAAGAGTTTCGCAGAGGGGTAAGATGAAAGCTTCTACATGGTCATCTGCCAGTCTTCATATTTTTATATGACTTTCAAATGAAATTCACCTCTAAATTTTTATGACTTACATATTATTATTATATATTTCCAGGTTGGTTTCAGGTTGATGAATGTGTTTCTCGCCTTCCCGATTCTCGCTCGATTTGACATCCTCGTCCGTTCCTCCTGTAGTTGAGACAATGCTCCCTAGATAAGTGAATGAAGTAACCTCTTTCAAATCCCTCCCGTTGATGGTGATTGGATGTTGCCGCTGCTGTTGTTGTTGGTTGGTTGGTTATTTTCATAACCTCCGTCTTGTCTATGTTCACCTGGAGTTCTGTCTTTGCTGCTTCTTCGACCAGCTTGTCGGTTTTCGCTTGTAAGTCTTCGATTTTGTGTGACATCAAACATAAATCATCCACGCGCGAAATCCAGGTCTTCTAGGTTCTTCACGTCGGTCCAGGATATCCCTGTCTTCTCGTTTCCCACTGTCTGATGCATAATACAGTCCACCACAACTAGGAATATCACTGGTGATAATAAGCACCCTTGTCTGACTCCTGTGTTTACTCCAAACGCTTCGCTGAGTTTTCCGTTGTGAATCACTTGACATGTGCCATTGTCGTACAGCTGTTGAATAAGGTTGATGAATATTTGGGGTACGCCGTAGTACTCGAGTAGTTTCCAAATTACTTCGCGGTCAACGCTGTTGAAGGCCTTCTCAAAGTCTATGAAGGGAGTTGAGGTAGAGGTTTGATTGCCATTCCATGCTTCGTTCGGTGATGATGCGTAGAGTTGCAATTTGGTCAGAACATGATTTGCCTTCCCTGAATCCATCTTGTTCTGGTCAGAGTTCTGTATCCAGTGCGTCCTTTATTCTCTGCAGGATGATGTGACTCAGGAGTTTACCTGGCGTCGACAGCAGCATGATTCCTCGTCAGTTCTTGCAGAGTCATAAGTCGCCCTTCTTTGGTAGTTTCACGAAGTAACCTTTCCTCCAGTCAGTAGGCACCTTTCCCTCCTTCCAGACTTTTTGCAATAATGGAGTCAGCATACTCAATACTAACATCCGTACAACGGAATGAAATAAGGATGAAGTTCAAAAGTTAAACGTGTGTTTTCGAATTTCACGAAACCAGATTAGTGTTTTCGGCCCATTTATCGAAACGCGACGATACCCAGGGGATAAGGCAAGTTGTGCCACTTACAAAAAAGGATGTGCCGTACAATCATTCGGAAAACTCTGCAAGCAATATGTATGATTATATCCACTAGGGGAAGCAGCACGGCAAAGGGAAGTCTCTCACGCACTGACCAGAGAGAATTTGCAGTACACAATGAAATAATTCTGTAAATAAATTACTCATTTAAAGTGGACAAAAGGGCTTTTTGGCGCGATTAACATAGCATAGGCTGGAATTGCCACACAGTACGAAAAATGACACTGTTACCATGACGACCATCAAGTCGCCACATCTGTGTGGGTGCGGATGTTGGAATTGAATGAAAATTTCCCTGTCTGTGATAAGGCTATCACTCTAGTTATTATAACTGATTAGAGACAACGAAACTGTAGTGTTCGCCTGAACCGCATCGAAAATTACTCACAAGAAACGACAATTATGAGAAAAAGTACATGGACAATTGTTAAAGCAAAGTCCCAGAAAATACTGACAGAGAAGTAGGTGTGACATCAATCCTGGCCGAGAATTTCGGAGGCCATCATTAAGAGGGCAGTGTAGAAATTAGGCTGGATTGACAGTCCTTCGGATGCCACCTGTTTGTTGCTGTGTGATGAAAATGGTGACCTTAAAATCATGATGCGGTGGCCACCACTGCTAACAATGCTCTTAATGGAGTGCGAGCTAGGAGGAAAAAGTGGGGCACACTCGGGTTGAGGCTATTTGGTCAATGATCCCTTATGAAAGATAAGTAAGAGTTCACAATTTTGGCTCTTGGGTTTTGTAATCAGTGATCGGATCACTCCGAAGGTGCATATCTGTCCTTCAAAGCCTTTCACTGTCTATACTGAATCAACAGGCAACTACCCCTTTCGTAGATCCTCATTTTATTTCTTAAATGGGTCGGCGAATCCCTCGAAAAGCTACACATAGGTGGTGTTGTTCGATCAGATGTCCAACAACATCCAGTCACTCTTACAGGCTTCTCCTATGACGTCACTCATTCCGTGAGTTAAGATAGTGGAATGTAATTGTTCAGGCATACATCATCATTCTCCGGAGCAACGTTGGCGAATGTTGGCTTGACTTTATCAATATAAAATATCTCATTTGAGACGAGTTCGTCATTTCTTTCGAGAATCTCAAATTACCCATCCTCAGATGTTTGACAGAACCAGTGGAAATCAGGTTCCCTGACCGATGTACAATGGTCGTTGTTGTTGTCAAAGTGACTCCCTACCCGTAAACGTTTGCCCACGCTAGTAGGATTCGCGTAGTTAGTGATTTATTTCACCTGCCTCACATTGCATTTACAGCCAGAGATAAAATTTACACGATCAAAAGAGTACATTAGTCCATCATCATTGTTGATGGACTTTGCCATTCGACAGAAGATAATTGGTGAGACAAGTAAATACGCTCCACTATGTCAATTACAGTGATTTTCGTGAATGATATATAAATAAATTTATTCTCATAGTACATTACGTGAAGGAAACCAGTTTAGAGGCATCATCAAATTGTTGCAGAAATAGAACCATATAATTCAATCACAATTTACAGGCGGTAGCAAGATATGCTTTACATGTTCGCTGGAGATTATACATACGCTTGAGTATTCGGAGGAGGAAATATTTAATGTTTATTCTTATAGGTCTGGATTTAACGACATAAAAAGCTAAGTCTCATTGAATAAAAACAATTCATTCTCCACTTTCTATGTTCATTTCCTTCGTTTCGTCCTGGAATGCTCTCAGTGCGCAAATCGGATGTTCGGTATAGCCAATTAGATGGTTTTCCAAAATGACTCGTTTTATAGTTGTCCCAGGAAGTTAAACTTTTAGTCTTAGTGGGCTATCTGCCCTACATATTCCGGGTAGATAACGAAGACTCGGTAATTCCCCTGCCTTCATTTACCAGTTTTCAAACTTTATCGACAGACAGGCTACCATGTAGGTCACATCCTTTAAAAGAACAAGAATTCCGAGAAGAGGATTTTGACCTCGGTGTCCCTATAATAGAGAAATATCAACTTCCATGTTTAAACAATGTTTGTGAGGTTTCGCTGTCGCAGAGATGCATTTTTCGGAAGCCCATAAGTCGTTAACATTTCATTTATTGTTGTCGCTAGTGTATCGACCTTATAAGGTACCAGTAGTGCTGTTGACAAGCAACAATTCATCAGTACTCAACGTGATTCACCTATGTACCCAATAATTCATTACTTTACCTCACCTATAAGTAATGACTGCCAAAATAAAAATAAAAAGACAGAGTTATTAGGGAAATGTGCTCCGTTGTGCGGCTTATTCGATTATAAGAAGATAAAGATTTAGAACGATGACTGTTTTACAAAGTTAGAGAACTTGCGTCTTTATAACAAAACGGAAAAACCAGTTCAAACGTGTAAACGTTTAAATAAAGACCTAAAACATCTGAAATTCCGCTACAGTCCTTTGGTTGGATATGTTGTGGCTCAGTGAGGACGTAGTTAACAACCTATATCCACTGCTCACTAGAGGAAATTGAAGAATAAACTGCTGCCGAACTAATTAATGGGTCGTAGAGACTAAAAATCCCTCTAGACAATATCGGAGAAATGAACGTTGCTTGGCGACAGGCATCTGTTGTATTTATTTCATAGCTCTAGGTGCTACAATATTTTGTGACCACAGGGATAATTTGTATTGCAATTTAAAACTCGCATGAACTGCATACATCTGTGGAAAATAATCGCGGGATTCAACGCTTCTTGTGCCCCACTACCGTGTTCTGTATACATCTAGAAACGAATTCACAGAGTTTCTCATTCACTCAGCCACCCAACCTCAACTTCGACGACTGATTCCATTCTCCTACAGCCAAATAGACTTTGATGGCCCAGGTGTCAATTATATAATAGACAAGAAGCGTCCCAGTGACAGACAAAATACCTTTATTCACTCCGTTGTTTACTACACCCAGCTCTTGTAATTTATCTGCAGTACTTAAACAAGTCTGTGTGATCTCCAGTCTTTCAATGGAGCTCGGCCTTCGTTTCACAGACCTTACTACATGAAATTAAGCAGGTTCTAGACCAAACTACTTGTGGCCGCACTTAGCCTATAGAGGAGATAATACTTATTTCGAAGACCAATCCAGTCGGGTGAATAGACCTGATACTTTGAGATTGTGTTCGTAAGCTAGAAACTAATTTTTTGGCCAGAAGGCAACAATACTTAGTTGTAGCCGATATCAACAGCTTTTATTCATCAACTGAACATATTTTATGATCAGTTTAAGGATCTGTACAAAATTCCTTCTCCGGATAATGCAGCTTGCTGACTCTAAATAGGAGTATTTCTCTTCACAAGGTCACAATCATCCAATTCTTCTTCAAAGAAAAGCACGCACATGCAGTCTGTTGACTACTTGTAGTTTTTTGGGGGGTATTTCTCCCGACAGTCGTTTGTCCTGTATCTAAGCAATTAAGTCACAACTTTGAAACAAGGTTATTTTATCTTTTATTTTGCATTGAAAGCCTTAAACGTTTGTTTGTCCTCATCAAAGGGTATATGGAACTCAGATTAGCGCGGCATTGTTGATTGCCTTTCGGAATGTAAGCAGTTTTTGAACAGATATTCTGTTATACTGGAATGATTATGCGTAAACTAAATTCGTTTCTGTTTCTAGGTCAGCTGATGCTGGAGCTGCAGATGTTGCCAATGGTGGGGCTCCCCAACCTCGCCCACAAAATAAACGGCTTCAACAAACACAAGCTCAGGTAGATGAAGTTGTCGATATCATGCGAGTGAATATGGAAAAAGTGCTGGAACGGGATGCTAAGCTTAGTCAGTTGGATGACAGAGCAGGTCAGTTGTTGCGCTTAACTGTAACTGGCGGGACGAGCTACGCAGACGTTTACCGAAGGTCAGGAACCTCTACCTCACAATCAAGAGGCGAGCACAAAGAAATCAAATTGGTTTATACTAGCTCGTAAAAACGATATTAGATATTAGAACTTCCACTTTTGTTTGTGTTATCTTACTTAGAGAAGGTAGCATCATTGTAATTCCAATATCCAATATTGTTTTTACGAGCTATTATAAGCCAGTTTGACTTTATTGTGCTCGCCTTTCGATTGTGAGGTAAAGGTTCCTGGTCTGCAGTCAACTTCTGCGTAGTTCGTGCTGCTTCTCGACTGTCGTAGCTTTGGTTGACCCCAAAAGCAGTTCTGGGATTTGTTATATGTTGTTTGTAGTATGCGGTGCGTTAAGACTGTTACCATCGTGAATGGAGTTGTTCCTTTCACCAGTTAGTCCTCCGGTATCGTCGTCAAAAGAAATAATAATAACAGATATAATTAGTGTACGTTATTCAGACTAGTACTTTTTGATAATAAATAATCTTTATTCTGTGATATTGTAGCTTAGTGCACTTAAACAATATGACGAATTATTCCGCTCCGAAGCTTACCAGTTAGCTGTCGACTAAGTTCCCAACAAATCTTCGAATTGGGGTTAGTGAAGGGATGGATGCAGAAAACTGTAATCTATAAAACATGATTTCCTTTTTGTGCACTTTAATAATCTGGAGGTTCTTACTATGTTTTATATACTAGCTCATTTACACATATTTAAGTCATCTCACGTCCACTGACGGAAGATATCCTGGCAGAAATCATTTTCTTCATATATTTTTCACAAACTCGTGTAAAGTCATGTCTCCTGTCTTGTTTTTTCCTCACTTGCTTGGTGTTGAAATAAAGTTACCAGGTTAGCACACTGCACTAATAATGTTTACTTCATCCAGGTAAACAGTCCGATGTAGGTAGTGGTATCGTTCTCAATGGCGCAAACGTATTCATTTTATGTGACCCCCTCCATATCCACTAATTCATCATGTTTTCCCATGTTACAATTCTTTCTCCCGTACATTTTTGCTTATCATAGTTTTCATGAATCTCTTTACTTCTCTCTCTTGTTTATCTTAATGTAGAGTGTGGCAGCCTGAACTGTTGCACTTGTGTGCTGATATGTATTGACTTAGTGTAAGTAGTGAATCAGATAACACTGGATAAAACTATCCGTGTAATTCGTAACTTTTCATATGAAGTGGATTTCGTTTGCCTGTAAGTGTCTAAAGCCCAACGTTAACGGTAATTTAATAAATTCGTAATAACCCTCTACATAATGGAAATATGCAAGTGAAATTACATGAGTTTTGCAGATGTGTGCATTAGATCATATGAAGTCTAGATACTCATGTCAAGTTGGGTAAATATTAGCACGGTTCAGTATTAGTCGTGCATGTATTGATATACGTAAACGGATTTTTTAAATAGTTTTCATGCGACAGTAAAATCTCAAGTATGGTCAATATCTTTAGCATCATGTACTTGTGCTGAATCTGGAGACCCAGTGCTTTAGACGGATTAAAAGTGATTTTAATGTGATATTTGCAGAAAGGTGAGTATTTTGCGCATCGTCCCACTTCGATTAACCAACTATAAATGCTAAATAAACTCGGATACATTAGTGGTTTTGGCAAATATGTTGTACAACTTTCTTCAAATTCGGTGGCTAGTCTCTCCGATATGTCTCCAGTTAAATGTTATCTTGAATACAGTTAACTATACACACATTAGTTTACAATGTAGAGAAAGATTAAATAAGTCTCTTTCAACGCTTCAAAACCCCGTTTCCTCAATGAGTATTTGTAAGTATTCTAAAAGACCTACGTTTGGTGCATTCGTTGTAAACTCCCAGATACATTAAGTCGTAATTATTCTCTATGTACTTACATTAATTCCTTACATCAACGTTCATCATTATAGCTTTTCATTTTCCCTCTACTTTTATGTGTGCTTCATTGAGTATAGCAGCTTGATCTGCCGCTTTTGCATGCTAAGTTCTGCGTTGGAAACTCAGTGGCCTCGGTGTATATTGATGTATATGCAGTATTTCCTCTTCACATAGACGTATCCACTATCTCTTAACAAAAGTGGTGCTAATTTCCCTAAAGCAATTATTCTTGAACGGACAATGTTTCGTGTCATATTAGCCAGCTCAGTCATTTTCCATTTTTTAACATCTGTAAAATATTGTGCGCCTACGCAACAGTTTGTCATTCACCTTTTGTCTAATTTTTCATCCCTACCAGTTGTATCATCAATAGTTTTTTTATCGGTAATCATCCCAGTGTTTGCGACAACACTTCCCAATTTGTCACAGCTTTCCTTCTCACTGGTCACGTCTTGGGTGCAATTACGTAAAAACATAAGTTTTTACCATCACTTTTGTTGAATCAGTGGTACATTAAGAGGAAAGTGTCATACAAAACCAGTACAGTTGTGTAGTTCTAATGTGTGAACTTTAATTTGCATACGATGTACATAAGTCATGTCCAAATGAAATTATTAAACCATATTCAGGAAGTGGAGTGTTTGTTACTGAGCGAATCCTGGTTGGTCGTTTAGTGACTATCATAACGTCTGTTTGTATTCGTCCTCACTACTTTCATTTGTGGGTTGTAATAGGTTTATTATCGCTCATTGTAGCATTAAAACGTGTATCACGCAGTTTAGTCGCATTGTTGATGAGCTGATTTTGGATTTTTAGGTATCTAGTTATTCTCGTTAGTAACTAACATCCCTTGAAGTAAACTCAAATTGATTTTGTTCATGATGTTAGTTTCCTGCGACAGCTAATTAAGGTGGCTTTTTACTGTTTTTTTTTTTTTGAATATGCACACGTATAAATGTAACTAGCGGAAATAGTTCCAAAACCAGACTACATGTGCATCCTGACTACTTAGATCTATTTCGCTAACAATGTTTTTTCTTTTCTAGATGCTCTTCAGGCAGGCGCTTCACAGTTTGAGGCAAGTGCAGGGAAGTTAAAGAACAAATATTGGTGGAAAAATATGAAGGTACGCTACTTCTTTAGATTATAATAGATCCACTATTTACATCGGGAAATAACTTTATTCATATATTTCTACAATATCACAGTATTGTCTCTATAGTGATTATTTTCATGATGTTTTTTTGTCCTGTATAAACATTTACAGTTCCTTCGTGCTTTTAAAAAGTGTGCTAATAGATACTTCCTGAGGGAAACCTAACTTTCGATAAGATCACTGATATCTATCTTACCAACTTGCGGAAATCAAATCACAGTAAAACTGGTTAATATCAGTGTAGCTTACGGTTAGTTCAGTGAGTGCTGATTTGGATGTTGCAAACGGTCGACCTTAGTTTAACAAAACAATGAGGTTAGCATCACATAGTGCAGCTACAGTATAGCTTCTATTATAAAAGCCGAGAAGTTACGCGTTTCCATTTTGTTCCTATCTCCCCATGGGAGCTACCAGGTTAGCATATGTTGTATGTAAATCATTGAAGTTAATGTCAAGTAGCAGTATAAGTCGATGAGCGCGTACTCAGTGGTGGCTTCATTTGAGACAAGTAGATTGCATGACCTCGTAGCTGAAATGTTTCCTTTAATAACAATCAGAAGTAAGATGCTTGTGCCACTTAGTGTTCTATAAATCCATCGATTGCACTAGATGGTCTGTCACTGACCGATTATGAAGCATAGAGTATTGGCTGAATTGTGATGGCGATCACTAAGCGGCTGTTTTATCTTGGATACGAGCTCTATTGCATTTGGTAATGATCTAAACTATTCCTAGTCTGCTTATTATCACCAGTAGACTTCACAAACTGGACTATTGTGCAGTAATAACGGCTTCTCTATCTGTTACTGTTTGTCTTCAATGGGTGTGGGTATAACTACAAGACTGCATTCTTGTTTGCAGTTATTAAATTTACGGAGTTGTCCGTTGATTATTTATTTGAACCAAGAATTTTGAACATTATTATTATTAGTCATTTTGCATAGTTTTCCCTTTCAATCTAGGAGTACTGTATTTTGAAAATTTAAATGTAATAATGCATATTACTTTTCTTTCTCATTTGTAGATGAACATAATCATTGGTGGTGTTGCGTTGGTACTCATTATCGCATTAGGATGTAGGTTTCTTGTGGATATATTCATACAAAGTTTGTGTAATCCATTTTGTGTTGTCTGTCACTGCATGTATTTTGTTTTGTATATTCATATACTAAATTGTCTATTGGATTTTGTTGTTATGTCCTATTTATGCCGTATCGTTTGGTGAACAATTTGAACACATTTCTGTTGTTATTGATTGTATTTCAAGTAGAATTTTAGAAGAGCGCAATCCAGGTTGTTGTAGTAGGTTGGCTAAAATATAACGATCGCATTTGAATTATTATTATTATTATGTTAAATGCATGACCGGGTACACATAATTAGTGAATGAAGCTCGGAGACTTCTTTTCCACTGTCATCTTCAAACTCTGCTTTTTTTGTTGAAGCATACTTTAATATTTTTGTGTATAATTTCTAAACAATTGATTTTTCGTATCTATAATATGTATATGAATCTTTCCTGTATTTGTTGTCATATAGAATGTTGTGGCACTTAATATTGTCGCTGTTGTATCCTCGTCGTAAAATGTATTTTTGGTGAGTTCCTTGGAAAACCGTCAGATGAATTGCATTGTTTTTTATGATGATATAAAACAAAATATTCTATAGCTGATCAATTCAGCCTGCATAAGAGAATTATTAATCACGTCATTTTAAAAAAAAGGCTGTCAAATTCAAACATGTGATATACTTTCACACTTCTTAATGGGACCTAACAAGAAACTAACCACTAGATTATAAAGTTGAATCATATCGGGAATACTGACAACCGTTTCACATTTTCTTTTTAAACTTAAAATTCATGAATTTTTATGTACAAATTATCGGACTACAGCATAAATGATATAGGTCATGTTTACTTGAAAATAGAGACGCTTGAGACTATATTCCATCCTAGTCTCCTAAGTTCTATGCATCGGCTCTCCAGGGACTGTTTATAACATCAAGTGTATTTAATAGAAATGTAAATAAGTTCCTTGCCTTACAGGATGTAACCATCCAAATTTACCTACCTTCATTTAATTTTACAAATGTGTTGTGCTACCCTGTTTTATTCGTCAGTGATTCAAACTTAACCTTTTATCGTAAAGTGAAGTGTACCTTTGGTACCTGAGTACATTTCATTTTTGACAAACTGAATAATTTATAATTTGTAGAAGTGACTAGTTTTATTTGGAGCAATACATGAACACCATGTCACCATTCATGGTTTCTTATTTTGTAAATCTGTAGAATTGTTTTTATTAACTACAAAGTTTTAACATCATTAACTTGACATTGATTCACATTGTATCTCATATAGCTAGTATTACTTTGTTACACTTTAGGACATTGGTTTTAACTATGTAAATCCTCTGAACATCTACCGTACTAATCAAGGATCTTGGCTAGACAGGATTGCATTTCATCCTGATTTTCGCTGTACTGTTCCCTATTGATTTCCCACATCAGTATAATAATTTAAGATTATCCTATTGATAACTAGTCTTCATCACTTACTTTTCTTCTTTACAGGGTACATATTTGGTGGAAAGTAAGTTTTGTTTGATCATTTCATACCTAATATTGTATTTGATGCCATCACCTGTTGCAACATGCGCGACTGGAATTCTCCTTTATCAGAATAACGGAGAGTAAAAAGTAACTAAGGTATCACGGTAAAGCTGATTGGCTAATTGTGTTTTTGAACACTGATAAGTTTTGTTAGTAACAGAACTGGTGACTCCTAAACTAATTCTCTATACCTACGTTATTTCATTTCCACAAAGGAATAAGTATATAATAATGCTACTCGTCAATCGAACATAGTGCATATCGTTCGCATTTATCCCAAATGCTTTGACTGACTTAAAGTATGAAATTTTCCTACTCATCTTCTCTGTGTATGAATTGGTCATAATCCCGAAAACCCACCTAAAAGTTATTTTTAATGCGGATAATATAAATAATCCTTAAGTTTCCGTGTATTATGGGTAGGCTTTGGTTGTTCCTCACTTCTGAAGCTCCTGAATTCAAAGAACTTCTCAAAAGACAACAACCTAGTCTGTAATGCAGATGACTGCACGATGTTTAGCTTGTCGATGGCCAGCTAAGACAACGTAGGCAAACAGAAATATATACATGGAACAATGCAAAGAAAACCAACGCTTCGTTTTCAAATTTACTGGTAAGACATCAATCAACAGAGCATGAGATAGACAGTATTTAGACAAACGATCTGGCAAACAATAAATTCCCGCTCATGTTTTTCTGGAAATTCTCCTGTGCATGTGCTTTGTAAAGTGATTGACATTTCCCAATCTTCCTAATTAGCTTTATTTGAAAAGGACGCCAGATCTTAAACATTTTTCTGATTGATTGTGGCAATATTATTTCAGTAATTTACTCGGACACTTCTCACAAGACGGGTAAAGTGGTGTTTGAAAGCAAAGTAGGTTTATGATGCTTAGATTTGCGCTTAAGTCTCTCGCCTTCACACTACAAAAGGTAGAATTCCGGAAGATTTCTTTGTGGACTTGAACTTGAATTTCATTTCAGAAAACATGTCTCTATGCTACGTTTTTCAACAATTAGAGTGATTGAAGTGAAGTGATTTATCCGTAAAGTTTTTCTTTGTTACGCTAAGAATAGGATGATAACTCGAAAAGACAGTAATAGAGGTTAAAAATATGCAAAGACATGTATTCTAATGCAGGGAAGAGTTACTTAGCAGAAAGCCCTGTCTTTTGATGCTTGCTGTGGCGCATCAACAAGATGTATCCTCTTCCCTTATTATGAAGATGCATCAGTTGCCCTGTTTCAACATTTTAGCGGGTTTCCTCATTTGCATTCACTAACTGGTCAAGTGTTTCTGCTTACACAGATGTGAGGGGTTATCGTTTTACCCAGATGTAGGCAGGTGGAAACTTTACTACTGACAAAATGTTTTCTATCAACAGGGTTTCTAAATTGCTGCAAATATAATATGTTGCAACAAACTGATCCTGATATTCTCTAGTAGGTAACTTGTTATTGTCGTGGAACTGTCACGACATCAGAGGCTCGTTACGATATCCAAACTATGTCCATCTCTAATGTAAGACCAGAATTTAGGCACCATGATATAATTCATTATAATAAAGGTTTTTTGTATTTCCCAATGAATGAAAAACAAAACAATATTTGTTTTTCATTCATTGGGAAATACAAAAAACCTTTATTATAATGAATATCATACACCCAATGCCCAAGATTTTTCAAACTGTTAAAAGTGAACTTGGTTTGGACATACATAACCATGATAGAATACTAGATGAGTTGATTTGATATGATGATGAGCAATAAATTGTGCTAGAAACATCCACTGTATCAGTGTTGTATCACTTGGACTTACCGTATATAGAAGCATATCTATGTCTGTCTTTAGACGTTAAAAGCGGAAACCTAACTCACCAAATAGATGAAAACGTCTACAGTTGTTTGCTGGCATTCGTGATGATTAATCTCCACGAATGAAATCTGATTCTTGCAGAAAGCTGTTGATGAAGATCTGCAGTTTGTTCTAAGTGCTCTTCGTGACGCGTCAAGTCTCTGGTCCGTATAACAGCACTGACTTCACATTGGAGTTGAAAATCCGAACCGTATTTCTCATGGTGAGTGCTATTGATCTCCACACCGACTTGAGAGTAATGATAGCTTGCCTTGCTTCCCCAATCCTCGCTTTGATATCCTCATCAATTCCTCCTGTAGTTGAAACGATGCTTCCTAGGTAGGTAGGTGGGTAAAAGAGGTTGTTTCTTTCAGGTTCCTCCCATTTATGCTGATTGTTGTCAGTTGTTGTTGTTGTTGCTGTTGGTGGTGTTGCCCAGGAATCTTCATCACCTCTGTCTTCTCTATGTTCACCTGAAGTCCTTCCTATCTTCCTTGGATGCTTCTTCTGCCAACTTTTTGCTTTTCGCTTGCATATCTTCCAGTTTGTGGGAAATCAGACATATATCATCGGCGAAGTCCAGATCCTCCAAGTTTTTTGTGTGAGTTCATCTTATGCCTGTTTCCACCATGCCCGCTGTTTGTCGCATTATCCAGTCTACTGCAATCAAGAAAATCATTGGCGATAGTAGGTAGCCTTGTCTTACTCCTGTCCTCACTTCGAAGGATTCCGTAAGTTTCCCGTTGTGGATTACTTGGCATGCAGCATTGTCGTACAGCTATTGGATGAGATGTATAATTGTCGGTGGCACCCCGTAGTAGCGAAGTAGTTTCCAAATCACCTCTAGATCGACGCTGTCAAAGGCCTTTTCAAAGTTGATGAAGTTGAGATAGAGAGGTGACTGCCATTCCAAGCTTTGTTCAATGATGATCCGTAATGTGGCGATCTGATCAATGCATGACTTGTTTCTCCTGAATCCAGCCTGTTCCGGTCGAAGTTTTTCATCCAGGTTGGCATGTTTGATTCTCTCCAGGATGATGCGGCTTAGTATTTTGCTTGGGATGGACAGGAGCATAATGCCGTTCCAATTCTTGCATTGACTTAAGTGTCCTTTCTTTGGCAGTTTGAATAGGGTAGTCTTTTTCTCAATCAGCAGGTACCTTGCTCTCTATCCATACCTTCTCCAGTAGTGATGTCATCAAGTCTGCTGATGTCTCTGGGTCCATTTTCAATGATTCTGCTGGGATTCCATCTGGTCCTGCTGCTTTTCCAGTTCTTAGCGTCTTTAGGACCGCTTTCGTCGGAGGGTTGGTATCTACTGGTATTTCTGCTTCCGCCGTTGGTATTATTAGGCACTTTGTAGGTGGTGGTCGATTAAGAAGTCTTTTGAAGTGTTCAGCCTAGTGTTTCCTTTGCTCCACCTCTTTGATGATTGACTTTCTATTGTTATCTGTCACTGGCTTAATTCGTGTTGACCTCTTTCCGTATAGGAACCTAGTTGTTTGGTAGTGTTGCAAGGTCTCCTTTGCCTGCAGCTTGTTCTGCTTCACTTTCCATAGTTTCGTAATATTTTCTTTTGTCTTCCCTGGCACTCTTCTTTACTCTTTTGTTCAGTGTATCGTAGCTTGCATTCAACTCCTGTTTTTGTTGCTCGTCGGTGCACTGGAGAATCTTTTGTTTCATCATCCTTCTCTCTTCTATCAGTCTCCAAGTGTCCGTAGTGAGCCACTGTTTATCCTGTCTCTTCTTTCTGTCTAGAATTTCCATGCAGGTTTGGCTTCACACCGCTTTCAGGTTGTTCAAGTGCTTTTCAACACTGCTCACTTCGCTAGTGTTGATTTGTGTTTCCGCCTTTTTCCTTATGATTGCAGTAAAGACGTCCCTTGTATTGAACTTGGCTTGTGGTCTATCTGCAGCTCCTGTTTTCTTGAAAGTCCTTAATTTGATTTCGAGTGTTCCTTGCATGAGATAGTGGTCTGAGTCGACGTCTGCTCCTCTTCTTACTTTTGTGTCCAGTAAGCTGCGTCTTCACTTCCTTGAGATTGAGATGAAGTCAATTTGGTTTTTGATTCGCCCATCTGGTGACGCCCATGTAGCCCTGTGGATATCCCTGTGCTTGTATACGCTGCCACCAATCACTAGTTCGTTGAAGGCGCAGAAGTTTGCGAAGAGTTCTCCGTTTTCACTCATCCCTCTGAGTGATTATCGACCCATAACGAGTTCTCTTCCTATGTTGTCTGGTCGCAGTTTGCGTTCGTGTTGCCCATTAGAATTTTAATGTCACCAACTAGAGTATTGTCCATTGTTGCCTGTAGAACTCTTCTTTTCTGGATCTGCGTTGTTTGTTTGTCACCTCCTTCCTTTCGAGTTGAATCTGGTGGTCATTATCCTGTACAAGATCGCTTCCCATTGTATCAGGGCCTTCGTTGCCGTTGGTGAAATCATGATAGCCACACCTTCGGTGTGCTCGTGGTTGCCTTCTGGGTGACCAGAGTAAATCACTGACTCTCCCGTTGAAAATTTGGAGTGTCCACTCCCACCCCATCTGCCTTCACGTATTCCTAATACTTAAATACTATATGTCTTCATCTCATATACAATCTGGGCAGCTTTGCCGGTCTCATACGTACTGCGGACGTTCCATGTCCCCACACATACCTTTTCTTTCGTCGCCAGGGGATCCATTGTACTGAAGTTGCTGTAGCAGTTTTATTTACAGGGTGAGGTTAATAGTCTCACCCGACCTATTTGAAATGGCCGCCCTAAAATATCATACCGAATGTGGTAACTTTAAATGCTTCTATATCTCATTAAATATTTGTTGGTATTGTCCAGCTCATAAAAACTAATATCGTTTCTAAATCAATGTGTTAAACAGAAAAACTAATTGAAAAGCCATGAACAGGGCCCCTGCAACACATGACGTCAACCCGATACAACTACGAATGTCGTTAATCCCATGTAACTATGAGACGATTTCTTTCGTTTCCTATATGTTCGCCATCAGGTGATTTACTGTAATGAAGACTTAATGGCTCTGGGAGATCAAGAAGAGTGAGTACATCTGCACCATTGGGAACGATTTTCAGCCATATTCACCATTAGTCGCTAGCGTTTCGAGAACCTCAGTCAGATAGTCTGCATTTCCGTATGTTTTGATTTGATCATCCCAACCCTACGTCGGCTAATTTCTGGAAGAGGAAAACTTTGACTTGGCACACGTTTCACATGTCCTCCCTATATACAGTGATGCACCTTCAGAACCTCACTGATTGACTTTCTTTCTTTACGTAACATTACTCCAGGAGTACCACGTTTATGCCGAAGATGACGAAAGTTGGCTAAAGTTAAAGAAGCTTTTTGTGTCTGCTAAGATTTCGTTAGGATTCAGTCCATTCAAGCTGATGTGGTCACCAAAATAACCATTTCACTTCACTCGATTCTGTCGACCGAGAGGTTCTCTGGCGATGTTTCGCTGTTAAGGGAATGCCAAGAAAATACATTGCACTGATTAAGGCACTCTACTCGTACTCATGCAGCCAGGTGACGGCTTATGGCGAGTTGTCATCTGAAGTGGTGACGACAAGTGGCGTCCGTCAAGGATGCCCATTATCCCCATTCCTATTCAACTTCATCATTGACGTACTAATGGACTTAACCATAACACACACTTCAGCGACTCAGGCATTGACTTGCTACCACGGAAGAATCTCGTTGACTTAGAATATGCGGACGATATAGTCCTTCTAGGCGAGGACGCTTACAAAATGCAGAGTCTTCTGAACACCTTGAGCAACAATCTTCGTATGTTTGGCATGCGATTCGCCCCTGTAAAATGTAAGATGATGCTTCACGATTGGACTTCACCGACACCCAGATTAGAAATAGGAAGTGAAGTGGTAGAGCACGTTGACCGCTTCACTTACTTGGGAAGTACCATCAGCCCCAACGGGTTGATCTCCGACGAAATCTCAGGACGAATACAGAGGGCTAGGTTCGCATATGCCAGTTTACGCCGTCTCTGGCGTAGACGCGATATCCGACTATCGATCTGCGGAATAACCAAGTGATGAGAATTTCGTTTGATCGTTCAAAATAGATTCCGTAGTCCCTTTTATCTGACAAAACTATCCTGCCTTCTTTTATCAGACTTGCTTATAATTAAGTTTTCATTCCTTCTGAGTTCTCTCTGTGTTGTTTGAACAACGACAAGTTAACCCAATGTCTATTATTTTTGTGCTGTGGACAGCTGTCGAAAAAGCATAGTTTTCAATCTTGTTAGTTCATCATCAGATGATGGAATTAGATGAGACGTTTGTGAATACAAATTCTCCAACTGGATAGCAGTGTCTAATTGACTTATTTCGCACTCATAGTCACTAAATTTGGGGCTTAGGAATAACACCTAGTTGAAACATATTTAGCCCCATACCAAAAAGTATGTGGAAGTATCGGTTTGCAACTGAGCAAAGGGCGTGTGTACTGCTCAACAGTCCGCTCCGTCCTCCTTTATGGCTGTGAGACCTGGCCATTGAGAGCAGAAGACATGAAAAGATTATCTGTGTTCGATCATAGGTGTCTGCGTTCTATCTCCCGTGTGAAGTGGCATAATAAGGTGAGCAATATTGAGGTTAGGCGTCGAGTGCTAGGTAAGGAGGGGAAATCAGTCGACGAAACTGTGAAATTACATCGATTGAGATGGTTAGGACATGTGTTACGTATGCCTAGTCATCACCTTCCTCGACGGGTAATGTTAGCTGACATAGGGCCAGGCTGGAAAAGAGCTAGCGGCGGTCAAACGAAAACATGGCACCAGTCAATGAAATCCACAACAGTTAGTCTAAGCCACGTAGGAAGATGTAGACTTCCTGGTTGGGGTCCTCGGGACGGCAAAAACCAATGGTTGGAAACAATTGGTGACATGGCTCAAAATCGTTCTCAGTGGCGCAGATGCATCCACTCCTTGTGAATTATGATTTCCGTTATTACTATTCCTTTGTCTCACACCTCTGTTTACTGACTATATTATGCATTTCTTCTCTTGCTTTGTGTGCTACATGGAGTGGGGCGACTTGAACTGCCGCACATATGTGCAAAGTTCTATGTCGAAAACCGACCGATCACTTCATATTAAACTAGTAGCCGGTGCAGTCTAGTCCTGTGGAAGCATCTTACACTTGAAAGGAGCAAATCATGTGCCAGACATACTAAGATTTCTGACCAAGGTGTTCCGACTACTGTGTGTTACCTCTATCCTTAATCGGTAAGATTCATAGTAACGAATCAATCCTTAAGTCGCTAAAGTTAATCAGGGCTACTTCCATCGGTACCTAAACAGTGAAACTAAGAAATGGTGCCACGATACGTTCCTGAAGATCTGGTTTTCATTACCTTAGATGACAACTCTCCATAAAGCATTGTACAATTAAGTGAGTCCCAGTAGGGTGCCTTCCTTGGTGCGATATACTTTCCCGACATTCCATATACGACCAGACGTAACCACTACCTGTTGGTCAACGACCTTCAGACCAAGAAATGTGGCAAGTGTTGGACTGCAGGTATTTTCCAGAGCGTGTCGAGGGATATGATTAACACACCCTCGTCCCGGTCTAAAGGTCGCCGTTTATGTTTCTGCTGAGCACCGCTTGGTCTCCTCAGGATTGTGAAATCTAGAATTTTAGGTTCTGTTGATCAGGCCAATACCCCTACGATTGCCTCTGGAAGATGTCTTCTTTCGTATAAACTGCCATTGCCTGCACCAGTTTAGTGGGAATATTTCAGAATCCCACATACTACCTAATATCTTAGTTAGCCCAGTCAATAATTCATCACCATCACCCTTATACACCGGCATCAAAACACCAAGTGCTGCTGCTCTGCTTATTTCTAGGTTAGAGGGCTTCCGCTACTTCCGTTGAAGTCGCATGACCGATGTCTACATATCGTGCAGGTGGATGTTGAATAACTTTTGTGTGACTGCCAGACCAGCTGAATCGCCTTTCAAAGTATTCCATTCATACCGTCCTTGGAAATCGTATTAGTTTTCTTTGCAACCCGTTCGCCTAATGATTTTAAATAATTGTCTAACTATAAGTTCACGAGTGCTGAAAAATGACATAACTTGTTAAGAACGGCATTCAAAAGACTGCCTATGTGCAATTATTTCATCACTGAATATTAGAAACTTATAAGTAATGGAGCTAGTTTAAGACTACCTGAATCAGTCACTGAAATGTGGCTCAAACCGAACAGTTTTGTTATAATCCATACTATCCCGTATATAACTACAGTAGTGTTTTCTATCAATCTTTTGATGGCAACTCTACCAGTCAGTAAAGCAATGCAAAATTTGAAGAGCATTTTGCAGCAATAAAAGTATCTAGTGTTTTATTTTGTCTGTGTGGGAAAGAGTGCCTTCTTCTTGTGGTACCATTAACTTTTTGGTGGTCTCGTATGTATGGATAACTACCGTTTTTCTTGACTAAGATAGTGATGCCCATAGAAAAGTACGACAGTCTTTTCTCTTAACATATCACTTACTGCTGTGCTTAGTGGGATTTAGTAATAAACTGGACATGTATATGGACCTGCTGGGATTGTGTCCATAAACTTGAAAACTGTTCAATATGTCGTAGCAGCGTACGCAAGTCACCTAGTGTTAGCCCTTCTACAAAGAGTTAATCAGTGTATTTATACGATTCATATGGAAAAGAACGGAGAATCCCTGAGTTCTCAACACCCAACAGCTAATGCTAATATTTCCTTTTGGATGATAGCTTCGCTCCTATTTGTCGGACACCTTGTGACTTAATGCTTCCATGGTGTTCCACTAGATCTCTGCTAAAACATGAAAATCGACATTGCAGACATTCTAGGGTGCAATATTTCATAATGTCAGGAAGTACCACTCTTAACTATTTTTACGAATCTCTGGTCATCAAAAGATTTGGCTAAACATGAGAACAGCATAATCTAGTTCTGCAGCAGATCAGCTGTGCTCATAATACCCTATTGGTAAAGTTTAGACTTCAGTGTTAAGTGATACAGCTTCTAAGTCACCCAAGAACCATATGAGGAATTCTCTAAAGACTATAAATACCTGTCTGAGGTACCAACAAGCACTAAAAGACTCAGCTTGCAAGTCTTTAAATCGACCATCAAACTATAGTGCCTCATCACATTTCATTCATTATCAGTAGATTTGGACCAACACCTATCTTCACGGAATCATGAGGCATTTAACAAGCATTTCGAAAGTGTATCTGTAATACTGTCGTTATTATTGTCGCTAGACAAATGTAAAAAACGGGGCGCTGTAATTTTGATTTTCGACTTAAGCGATGTAAAGTTAACATGTTGAGGCTTGAAAAATAACTTCTTATACAATTTCTTCAGCTTGCCTAATACGTCACAAATTACTATAATTTTGATCCTCTTTGCGCTAATTTTCTCAAATCTCTTTATTTCTGCTTTCATAGGAAACAAGAAGCACCTCCTCCACCACCGGCAGCTTTACCTGCTCCAGGAACACATTCTGTATCGAACCCTCCAGCTTCTAAGCAAGCACCGAAACATGAGGCTTCCCAAAGACTTCGTCGTGATGCTCCTCTTGTAGGGAGTAGAACTCCGTGATCAGATAAGCGGATATTAGCTTTCATAGAATTGAAATGTTACTTCAGTTTATAGGTTTATCCCTAACTTCTATTTTCACGTGGTTACATGCGAAACTTGGACATCTTAAAACCTTTTCTCATCATTTTGTTCTATTATGCATCGTGTTGATGAATCTTTTGCTCGTTTGTCCAACTTGTGGCATTTATACAAGTCACCAATTCGGTGTTTCATGTGATTTCCTTCCTTTATATGTTAAACTTCCTTTTGTCTGTAGCATTTCGTTTTGCGTTAATTTTGCCGTGTGAGTTGTAAAGCATTTTCATTGTTGCTGGGCTGTGAAGCCGTACCAAAACTTGCCCTCTAATGTACGTCAATTATGTTTATTTATGTTAACACAAATCACACACATTACCATTCTGCTTCCCTCAATTTTGCTCTTTTTTCGTAAATTACATACAATGAATGAATACATCTTATATACATAATAAATATAAATATATTTACGAACTGAAATTTTCTACAAGAATAAGAGATTAAGATATTACATTTCGCAAAACTCTCTAATTCGTTCCTTTGTCATAAAAGAGCGACCCACACCAGTTTTCCGATAATCTGAACGGAATTTTAGGTAATCTTCCTCCAGCTTTTTCACTTCCTCTGGATTTAAAAGATATCTGCGTAAAAAAGAATAAAAGTTTGCATGTAAAATATCACTATGTGGTGATAGTTAGATTTATAATATCTACTTCAAACCAACGTCTGGACTTATAAATAGGAATAGACATTTGTGACTTAAATCCTTTCGTCGAGATACAAAAAGACCAAATCCAGGATCCAACTGTAGTAGTTTTACGTCATCGCAACAGCGTACTAAAGTCACGAAATACTCGGATGAGACAGAACAGAAGAATGCGATTTCCATCGTCTTAGAGATACTGAGCAGGTAGATCAACAGCAGTCAGTTTATACTGTTTTGGGTGGTGAAGAGTGTAGTTGTGACATTAGCCGCATGAAGACCCGCTTGTTTCATATTAGTTTGTTTATTAGGTATATCACACAGTGAAACAGTATTATTTACTGGATGACGTTTCGAACAAAATTTATTGTTCATAATCATATCAATTGTGATCACACGACTTTGACACTTGAGTTTTATAGTTTTCTTTGTTCTCTCCTATTTGTCGTATGGGTAGTAGAATTTTCCAGATATCGGGGACAGGTGATGAATCATTCCTATTACATGTATTTGCAGTTGATTCGATAAACAAAGCTTCTGTTATCAATCTCTCCCTATACCCTGTGACATTAGATTTTAAAACTGTCATCCTATGCCATCCTATTGTATGGTTGTGTGTAAGTGCATGTAGTGAGTGGTATAGCTGAACTATTCTCTAGATTTCTTATCTTATTCGGGTCAACCAACCCGCTTGTTTATCAGATAGAGGAAAATTAGTACACTCTGTTAGAAAAAAGTGTAAGGAATGTTTAAGTTCGAATTGGATAGGTTACTCAGCGGAATGAATGAAATTACAAAGAGCAAAGTATTACGCTGGTCTTAAGATACACCTCAGTTGGTAATCATGAGTCCTCCATCACTTCTTGGCTGTATACGAACGCTTCCAAAAGAACTGGTGGTGTCAAGGCAATATCCTGTTCTGGACAGTGAGCAAATGGAAATTCATGCATAACGCTCAATCGGACACTAATGAACACAAAACACGTAGTTCAGCGAAGAGGCACTTCTCGGCCAATTCATTTTCTTGTCATTTGCGTATATCGGTTCATCTGTTCTTATAGAGCTAGATGCATTGGTCATTCAACGCGTTTAAAGGGGTTCCAGAAAGGCAGTAGTGGCTCTATAAGGAGTGCGATAATCGAACACCTTGTCAACACTGGTCGGGTATTCCATCTCAACATCTTCCGTCTCCTTCAAAGTAATTTACAAAGTGAAAGCCAATATGCTTTCGTCTCTTCTGCATTCTTGAAGCTTCAGCTATTCAGACCGAGAAACCGGAGTTGTACATACATAAGAAAATTGTTCAACCACCTCTACCATCATGGTAACAACCTTGTTGGTTTTTACAAATTTGATTCCTCTTTGTTTGTTTTTCTAACTTTTATGTAGTTTCATATTCTCCTTCGTTTTTTTGTGCATCCTGGTTACATATTCATTAAATTACTCATCATTGTGTAGCCCCAATACACATTCAACTCCTGACTGATATAAATAACTATGATTATAACAACTCGTCACCTTTGTTACTACACTATTTCATGGAAAAAATCGTATATAAATGTAAATGAACAGGTAAGGGAGAAAATGAATTCGTCGGAAAAAGCCTCTTCGCTGAAATGTGTTTCGTTTTTAAGTGCAAAATAACTAGAACTTAATATGCTTATTCCTCGATGTATGCCAGTTATATTCACAGTTGCCCATTAACAGTAAATGCCAATGGGTCACTGTCTTTGGATTGCAGTCTTGCTAGGTGGCAAATTTATACACTTATTTCGAATAGAGCGTCGGTGGCGCAGAGGCAGAATGATCGTCAGCCACCCACGTGGTCCGGGATTCTGTTTCTAGCCGATGCACTTCCAAGTCTCGCTTAGCTGGTAATAAGCCCCGCGAAGAGAGGAGGTTGGGCGTGAGACTAGCAATCCTACTCCGTAAAAATAGAACCACTGTTACCGAAACTTCAAAGCTCTAGCTTGAAGATCTATGTTCCAGTGGGAACGCAAAGGAATATATTTTTCTATTTTGAATAAATAATCACTTGCGCCAGTCATTTATTTAACGTTCCTGTCCTACCGCTCACTCATATGTTGTAGAACCTTTGTCATCATATCAATCTCTGAAGTCAGTGATTTTTCTTTAAAGACTAATACACAGAATTATTATTATAATTATTTTTTTTTAAATCATTACGTGATAACAGAAACTATGATTAAAAACAGGTGATACAGTTCAAAATTAATACCTATGGCGAGGATGTATTCAAGCTCCTTTTATCTCAGTGTTAATACCACATCTTTATATGTCTTCTTTATCTCCGAGCTGTTATATTACAGTCCTTTCTTTGTTTTCCTTCCCCTTACCTATCTGACATAAAGCATAAGATGTGAAAACTTAGTGTAGTACACAGTAATGATAGGTCATTTGTTGATAATAACTTTCTGCACTAACTTGTGTAGAAAAGTATGCACAATATTTGCATAGGAGCAACCTTCCGAAATTTAACGTTCGAAACTGTTCCTTGTTGCTTTCATCATAGTCATGCTTCAAGCAATGTCGCGTTTCGTGATGAAAATAACAACTTCCTGCCAGCATCACATGTGTTTTTCCTGGGAATTGTGTGCCTAACCTCACTACTTCTGCTTATTCATTGATTCCATCTATTATGCATAATGCTGTCACAATCAGATGACACTTATTTCCACTGTTACGAAATGTGGATAAACTTTAGAAGTTCCCGAAACAATGGAGATCAGTGGCAGATTTGGCTGAAAATAAGTTACAGTAAATTAGGAGCATTTGGTGTTGGTCTTTATTTCACTTGGAGCGATATACTATTGCCTGAGATTTTAGGCTTTTCTATATCCACAGTTGAATAGGGAACTTACGTAAAACTGATAAAAATTACACTGTCATAACACCTGCTGTTAGCTGAAAACTAGCCAGATTTGGTGTGATGGTCTCTGTGCAACTGAGAAACTCAGTGTATATGTTATGTACTGGACTGAGGACTTATCATGCCACCCAGTTTTTATAGACGAAATTATATGGAACAATGTTTGAATCTCGAACTCTTTGGATGGAATTCAAGTACTTCACTCGACTAACCAAAGCTCCATATATCACATGGTAATATTATAAAATAAGGAAAATCTACCCACTTGTTCTGGCATTGATCGAATGATTTATACATGGGTCTACATCGCCAAGAACCGAACCATTTTTCTCTATTCTCCCTCAGACATTTCCTCCAATCCTTCCATTCTTCAACGCATAATTCACTTAAAAGCTTTTCCTGTACAAATTTCGAAAGTATACTACTACGTTCTCCATCAGAAATATATTTGCTGTCGGGATCACCTGAAGACAAGAGTGAAGCATAGGACTTCAATTACCATACCCAACTGGACCTCCAGTATATGAATAGTAACCATCCACGTTAGTCATTGTTGCTATATAAGTTGAAATACCAGTTTCTTATGACTAAAATCAAAGAACACAAACACCAAAGTAAATATGCTTAGTAATCCGGAGAAAAATTTAATTAAAGTACGTTAGATAGGCAAAAAAGAGTACAAATATGTCGAACCACAATCTACAGAGACATAGAAGTTAAACAAAATAAAAATAATGTCACTGTACGTAAAAGCAAGTTTAGAAGAGAACATGAAGTGGGAATAGATCCAGATCTATTTTTAGTCATGTTTGACGGACAAAACGCAGGAAGTTATCGACAATACCTTAGATCAAGTTCCGTGGGCTGTTACCATAGTGTCGCCACAATCACACTTCCAGGCATCGGTTTACTCCCATGCAACGCGAAATCAATATGAAAACAACGCAACTTTGTAGTCTATAAGAGGTTTATGTACTGTTATGTAATAAAGGCTTATAGCACTACCCAGATTAAGGTGTCTGAAGAGAAATTTGTACCGGAATAATCATCGGTCAAGTACCTAAAGCATACTTTTCAAGCAAATCCCATTTCAGAAAACTAACATGAAGCTTTATGCAGAAGTGCATCTGTTTATTTTGTAACACCTCGGAGTTCACATTACAGAGTACTGAAGTGTGGTTCACTACAGTGGTAAAGTGTTTGAGAGCTACTTACTTGCTTACAAAAAGCGTCCCTACAATTAAACTAAGAATTAGTGTTCATCATTTTCATAGCGTTGTTTTTACAAATGACAGGGTTCAAGCTCATGATAAAAATTCAATTTTTTTACTTTGAGCATTCCAAAGACTGCATTTTATCAATCTCTTCAGGCAGCAGAACAACATTACTTGTGTACGTTAAGCCAAACTGCTCTTTTTCATGTAGCAAGTTAGTTTTTGTAATTAAGCCAAATAGCCTGATCCAATAGTACGTTTATAATAAAACCAGTACCTAACGAACACCACTA